TTCCTACCCAGATCAAAGGGGAGATTTGGAACAGCAGAGCAGCCTTTTCCCACTGGATCCCAGAGGAAAACCAGAGCCTTGCACATCATCCCTGCAGCTTTGGAGGAAAACTGCACCTTGTGCAGGAGCCCTGCTCCAGCAGAACCACATCTGTCACTGCAGGAGGATGCAGCCACCATGGAATGGGACTGCAACAACCCTGACTGACTGATGGGGTGAGCTTGGATTCTGACTGTCAGTGTTTTTGGGTTTGGTTTTTGTAATACTGTATTTCTATTTTAATTTTTCCTAGTAAAAAACTGTTACTCCTATTCACATATCTTTGCCTGAGAGCCCTTCAATTTCAAAATTATAATAATTTGGAGGGAGGGCATTTACATTTTCCATTTCAAAGAAAGGCTCCTGCCTTTCTTATCAGACACCTGTCTTTCAAAGAAGACAACCCCCAATATGCAAATGCACCAGACTTATAAAAGTGTGAAAGCTCCGTTGTCCATTTTGGGTGTAACCCTCAGGGGGCTTTGCCCAAAATGTACCTGAGGGCCCTTCAATAAATAGAACTGCTTTTTATTCCCTTAGTTCAGTCTGGCCTGTGTTTGTAGGCAGCCCCACGAGGGCCTCACCTGTCAGTCAGGGGGGTGATGACTGTGCTGGTTTGAAAGCAAAACCAGTGAGAGACTCCAAGTCAGAAACATATTCTATTAGGAAAAAAACAAACAAACAAAAAATACATGCAATAGTACAAAAGAAAAGGACTGCCAGAGTCAGAATACAACTTGACACCCCACTAGTTAGGGTGGTGGTAGCAGTCCAGATGAAGTGATCTTGTTGAAGCAGTGATCCTGAAGAAAGGTCTGGTAGCTCTTGTCCCCTGGAAACCAGTGGGTAAGGGCTGCCTTGGTGTTCCAGATCTCAGATTTTATCTGGGTAGGAAATGCTTGGCCCCTGGCCCTGGGTGGAGCATCTCCCATGGGATGATGGAATTTTATCAGTCATGCACTGGGACTGCATGGCCATGAACAGGAGAGATCTCCTGGAGGGAGGATGGGCTGTGGGAAAAGATAAAGAACACTGCCCCAGCTGGGTTAACACATGGCCCATTAACAGAGGATATCTCCACAGAGATCAGGATCACTGCCCAACATGGGTTAACAGCTGGTGACAGGATCCATCCTTTTGGGCACACTTTACGTTGTAACCCAGGACAGTGACAAGCTGGGAGTGTTGCCCAGGTACTCTCACCTGTCAGTCAGGGGGGTGATGACCAGCCGGGGGGTGTTGCCCAGGTACTCGTAGCTGTACAGGAACTGGGCGTCGCAGATGCTGGCCCAGCAGTGCCGCTCCTCGTCCACCCAGCGGTGCCGCAGCTGTGACAGCCACAGGAAGGCCTGGCCACTGTCCACCTGCAATGGGCCACCTGCACATCAGGCAGGGCAGGGCTGCCAGGCACACACAGCTCAGGGGCCCAAGGGGACTGTGAGGGGGTTGTCACCAGGTATGGACTGGGCACTGCAGTGGGGTGAGGAGTGGTGCTGCCCCAGCACCCAGAGGGTAAAACCAAATTAGCCAGAAACCTGTTCTGGGCCTGGCTGCCCCTCCAGAAACACAGGTGAGGGTAAAGCCATCACTCAGCATACCCAGGGCACCTTCCCAGCCACCTGCAGGGTGGGATATGAGACAGTGGCAAGGACAGAATGGTTAGAGGGATGGAGCCCCTCTGTTCTGGAGCCAGGCTGGGAGAGCTGGGGGTGCTCACCTGGAGAGGAGAAGGCTCCATGGAGAGCTCAGTGCCCCTTCCAGTGTCTAGAGGGGCTCCAAGAGAGCTGGAGAGGGACTGGGGACAGGGGCATGGAGTGCAAGGACAAGAGGGAATGGCTTCCCACTACCATAGGGCAGGGACAGATGGGATATTGGGAAGGAATTCCTCCCTGTGAGGGTGGGCATGCCCTGGCACAGGGTGCCCAGAGCAGCTGTGGCTGCCCCTGGATCCCTGGAGGTGTCCAGTGCCAGGTTGGGCAAGGCTTGGAGCAGCCTGGGATAGTGGAAGGTGTCCCTGCCATGGCAAGGGGTGGAGTGAAAAGAGCTTTAAGGTCCCTTTCAACCCAAACCATTCTGGGTTTATGTGATGGTTGAGCAGTGGTGTGGCAGTGGTGGACACATCCCAAGGGATTCCCTGTGGGCTCACACCAGAGCAAGAAAGCTGGAGAGAAGAAAAGCCCAAATGCTTTTTCTTATGGCCCTGCTGAGGCAGGCAGTGGTCCAGTGCCTGTCCCTGGTCTGTCACTCCATGAGTTCCCTGGCAATGCCCAGCATGGCTCACACTGAGCTGTAACACCAACCTTCTGTGCTATCATCTTGGCCACCACGTCCCGCGCGTGCACGTCGATGGTGCAGATGGTCATGATCTTCTGCCTGTCGCCCTTGGAGAGCTGCCCCAGCAGCATTGTCACCAGTGTGTTCAGCTGGGCCACCTGCTTCTTGTGGTACTCCTTCATGGCCTTCTCATAGCCTTCCTTCATCCTGGAGAAGGCCATGCCCACCTCAGCTGTCCACCAGATCTGGGTGCAGCAGAGAGCCACCTGGGGAAACAGACTGGCTCAACAACAGAGGAACACCAGGGTTTCCTTATGTCTGATCCATGGGGAGATCAGGGATGAAGCTTCCCTAACATGAAATTCAGTTTTATTATACAGTGTCATAGCAGGCAGGAGAGCAGGGATCCATTCCATATCCATTGAAATCCCATCCTGAACACATCCAGCAGCTGCTCATCTGTGAATGAGCCCCTTTCTCTGTGAAGGAGCCCCTTTGCCTGTGAAGAAACCCCTCTGCCTGTGAAGGAGCCCCTCTGCCTGTGAAGAAACCCCTCTGCCTGTGAAGGAGCCCCTCTGCCTGTGAAGGAGCCCCTTTCTCTGTGAAGGAGCCCCTTTTTCTGTAAATGAGCCCATTTCCCTGTGAATGAGCCCATTTCCCTGTGAATGAGCCCCTTTCCCTATGAATAAGCCCATTTCTCTGTCAATGAGCCCCTTTCTGGTGTCTGAACACATGGGAGGCTGAGCTGGACACCACGAGGCTGCCAGAGGGGCATCCAAGGGGCTCCATCAATTTGTTTTTGTTCTCTCACCTCACTGGGGGCAGGGGCTTCCTGTGACCCCTGGGGTGCAGCAGCCACTGCCCAAGTCCCCGAGCTGAGCTGCATCCTGCCTGGAGCTCCAGCCAGAGCACGGAGCTCAGCCTGGGAATCCACCAGGAGATGGCCAGGAGAAAGGAGAACTCCCTTTTCCTCTCCCCTGCACAGAAACATTCCCATGCACAGCCAGAGACCCTGCTGGAAGCAGGGCAGGAGCAGGGACTGTACCTGGGCAGGGTGGTCAAAGAGCCACTGGTCCCTGGGCTTGTCCTCGTACGCCGCCACAGCCGCGCTCATCCCGTCCCTCACCGTGGCCCTCACGGTGTCCAGCAGGCGGCTGAGCCACACCTCCACCTGCAGAAAGGGTTAAATCATCCCAGGAACTCCTGCTCCTCCAGCAGTGAGGGATGGCAGGGAGTGGGACAAGCAGCTCAGCTCTCCAGTCAAACAAGCCCCAGGCCTCCTCCAAACTGGGGGACTCAGCCATTTCTGCTCCTGCAGCATCAGCATCTCTTTCCACACACCAAGGGAGGTTTTGTGGAAATCCAGCTGTAGGAGGAACCAAACTGAACTCCACAGAGGAACAATTTAGCTCAGCATGTTCCAGCTCCAGGCCATGACAGTCACCCGTGGGACTGGAGCACAATCTGCCAGCAGCAAGAGAATGCTGGGAACACAATTCCTGCTGAATTTAGTATTTCACAGGCTAAGTCCTCTCTGAGAGCAGAGTTTAAATGCCAAGTGCCATCACTAGGGAGCTCAGAGCTGGTATTACCAACTTTAGCTTCCTATAATACTCCATGGAGAAAAGTGCAGCTACAGGGACAGAAAAGCTGAGCAGTAATTTGATTCTTAAATTTTGTACTTCGACTCGTCCTAAGAGAGATTTGGAAAACAGGAGAAAAATCTTTTTCTTTTCAAAGGTATCAGTGCAGAAGTACTATGGAATAATTTAATCCCAACTAGGAGGGTAAGAGTAATCTTCCAAACATCTTTCAGAAATTAAAATTTAAAAGCCCAATGAAGAATAGGCCACAGCCCTTCCTCACACCATGAGCTGTGAGGACCCATCCAGAGCAGGACTAGAGCTGTGGTGTGAACAAGGATTAAGATCCACACCACCTTTTCCAGCTTTTCTCATAGAGGCAGTGCAGAACTCCACAAGATCTTGGCCAGGGATGTTCCCCCAAGGGGTGTGGGAGCAGCTTGGACAGACAAGGGCTCCCCTCTCACCTGCCCACTGCAGTCACAGGGCTCACTGAACTGCACATATTCCTCCTCTCTACTGTACATTCCCAGGCCAACCTTGGTTGTCTTCTGCTCAGAGTCCACCTGGAATTTCAGCTTGGCCAAGTTGTCAAAGAGTTTGGAAAGGTGACGCTGCACCTGCAAAAAGAATTGTGTAAATAAAGTGAGGGAGACAGGACAGGCAGAGCAGAGAGCAGCAAAGGTGTGACAGCCTCAATCCTGCTCACTAAGCATGACTTGGACATGTTGGCAGCACCACATCTTCTCACTCATGGCCAGGATGCTGCCAACACGAGCCTGCTGCTGTCCTTCTCAGTATTTCCAATTACTTGTACCTCATTTAGAGAACAGACAGGCCCTGATAGATCCTGAGATGTTCCAGAGAGGGCAAAAGCACAGAAACATCCAAACACATCCAATCCCCAAGTCCCAATTCCCCTGCAGGTAGTGCTACTCTCCCTGGCTCCCCCTTGTCCTGTTCTCAGCACTGGAAAGTTTTTCTCACTAGGAAATTTTCTGATTTTTTTCCCTCCTAGAAATCAATTCTGTGCCAAAGAAAAGTCCAGAATTTTCCTCCATGGAGAAGCCAGATACATTTTTTTTGTGCCTGAGACCCAGACAAAACTCCCATCTCAAACAAAAGTACTTTCCAGAAGGATTCAGTGCTGTCCTGTTCACAGCTGGCTGTGTTTGCAAAGCCAAAGGGGAGACACTGGCACAGCTCCCGAGGCTGCCAACACCAGCACGTGCCTGTGGGAGCTGAGAGGTCACCAGAGCTTCTGGAGCACAACACCACACCCAGCCACATCCCTGTGCCACACACAGCCACAATCCCACAGGAAATCCCACAGAGCTGTCCCAGCCAGGTGCTGCCCCTGACACAACTGAGACAGAGATGGACAAACTCCACAGGCAGGATGGGAAAAGAGAACAGCCTCTACTTCCTGCTGGTCTCCTGCTTTCAGGGAAAGCTGGGAGCATTGGGGAAGGAGAGGCTGGAAAGCAGTGCCATGGAAAGGGACCTGGGAGTGCTGGTCCATGGCCAGCTGGATCTGAGCCAGGAGGGACATCCCTGTCCTGGGGGTATCATGGGCAGCCAGGGGAGGGAGGGGATTGTCCCACTCTGCTCTGGGCTGGGGCACCCCCACCTCCAGTCCTGGGGGCACTTTGGGCACCACAATTTCAAAAAGATGTTAAAGCATTAGAGAGTGGCAGGGATGGGAAAGGTCTGGAGGGGCCACAGGGGGAACAGCTGAGGGCACTGGGCCTGTTCAGAGGAGAAAAGGAGACTGAGGGCAGAGCTCAGCAGGGCTGCAGCTCCTCTCGAGGGCAACTCTAACCTCTGACAGGGTCAGAATCTGAAGCTGGAGCTGTGCCATAAGAGATTTATGTTGGATTTTGGGAAATGTTCTTCCCCCAGAGGGTGTTGGGCACTGCCCAGGCTTGGACAGCACTGCCAGGGATGCCCAGGGTGGGGCTGTTGGGGGGTCTGTGCACAGCCAGGAGCTGGATTTGATGATCCTGGTGGGTCCCCTTCAGCTCAGGCTGTCCTGTGATCCATCCTGTGGCTTGTCTGTCCAGTTCTCACTCCCTGTCCCACTGAAGATTCCAACCCCTCCTCAGGAGCTGTCCCACAGGGGGCCACAGCCCATCAGGTTCTTCCCAGGTGGTGCCAAGTGGATCCAGAAGCAATGGACACTCAGCTTCCCCACCAGGGCAAGCACACATCCTTCCAAATCTCACATAAACCAGGGAATCCTGTTTTACACCTGCAAGTGGGCAGGCTCAGCCATCCCCACTGTCTATTCCCAGTCCCTGGCTGCTCTGCAGGGCCTTGGCTGTGCTCCAGCACTCCATCCAATTCTGCCCCCAGAGCCTGGAATGCACCTGAATCTGCACCAGCTCAATATCCAGTTCAAGTGGATAATATCATTGTCTATTTAATCCTCCTTTAGGAATTATCAGGCTTTGAAACTACAGTGGAAAGGCTGAGAGCGTATCCGTGTATGATCCTGCCTGACATTTACTTTGATTTTACTGCAAATAGTTTTGAATAACAGAAAGCACCAGGAATTTCTCCTTACTCCATGGAGCATTTCAACACAGCAGCTTTTCTCTGCTTCCTGTATTTTCTTTCTCTCTCTCCATTTTAAGCATCAATCAGCTGTGTATTTATGACACTCTGTGGGCTGAAATCACCCAGCAGCAGCAAACACATCCAAGCAGAGTTAAAGGTTAGTGGCAACAAGAGCATTTCCAAGCCTGCCCCATCCACGTGCTGACACAAATGTTGAAAATGAGGAAAAGCTTCAGGAGGCTGAGATTGCTCTCTGCTAAAAGGTGGAATAAGGAATTGATTCCTTAGCCAACAGCCTCCATTTGCTGTGAACATGTTGATTTGGTTTCCACACCAACCTTAGGATTAGTGATGCTTCCCAAAGCAGGCTGGTCAGGGCATGGCACTGCCAGGCTAAGTGGCTGAGGTTTCCTGACAGCAGCTCCACATGGAAAAGCATCTGCAGGACTGAAATCCTCTGAATCTGCCCATGGGGACAGAGGGTTCTGATCCCAGGGAATGGGGGGAAGGGGACTCTGAAGCCATTTCTTACAACAGGAAGGTTACTGCCAGCTCCCCCTTGGGATGATCCAGCAATCCTGCTGAGCCAGGAGCAGCAATGGTGGATTTGGGGGGGATTCCCCACACCTGGATTCAGACCCCATCCCAGAAACCCAGGGCAGGCTCAGACACCCCCTGGCCCTGAGCCACAGCCCCTGGCTGACCAGCAGCTGCTCACCTGCTGCAGGCTGTGCTCCTCCCTGCCCTGCCAGCAGCTCAGCCCAAAGGCTTTGCAGGGGAAAGGAAGAGGCACTTACTGGAAATTGCCTCTTCTGCCTAAAACCACAGCCCTCTACAAGCCCAGTGATCAACACTCCCACACTGGAATGACCAGCCTGGGGCTCTTTCTTTGGTGGCCTCCCAGGCTGGGATCCAAGGTCAGCAACAAGTTTTGGATGAGATCTTTGAGAAAGTCGTTTTCCTGCAACCTCACTGTATCCCAGCAGAAACAAAGCCACTGTTTTTATGGCACAAAACCCATGGGAGTGCTCTCTGAACCTGCCACGAGCATCACCAGGGTTAGATCAGGGCAAGGCTGCCTGTCAGCAATGACAATGGAGATCAGCTCTGAAAGAGTTGTTAATCACATGGGGGGGAGAAAATCACTCCAGAAAGGAGAGTCCAGGACAACACCTTCCACTGGAAAACACAAAGGTGATGCAGTACAAGCCTTACCAAATGTGGGTTGGTGCCGTTGGAAAGAATATCCAGTAAATCTGCAGAAGAAATGAAGTAAAATCTGGGAAAGGCCAACCTTTTCATGTCCAAATATTCAGCCAAAGCCTTCTCACACAGAGACAACCTGGGGAGACAAAGCAGAGCCCAGGACAGGTGGGTAAATCCCTGCCATGCTCCATGCTGCCCTTTGGCTTTTTGGGCAGGTTCTCCCCACCATGGGGAAATGCCAGGCACGGGCTGAGCCTGCAGGCTGCTCCTTCCCACAGCCCTGAACAGATCCACAAAGCACAGGGAACTCACAGCTCACTCTCTGCTCCAGGGGTCAAACACCCAAGAGCTGGGGCAGCCTCATCAAAAAGCAGAAGCACAAGTGGAAGGAGAGGTTGGAAAGGTTTGCAGTCTGCCCCACTGCTTTAGACAAGCTCGGAGCTGCCACAGGTGGTGGCATCCACTGGGATGAACATTTCCAGAACTGCTTTTATTCTAATGAGCCACATTTTAAAGTCTGATTCCAACCAACTCAGCTTTTTGTGTTTGCAAAGCATGAAAGGAAAGTTGTTTGCTCCGATCTAAAATGAATCTTGCAGTGTTCACATGCTAAACTGCTGCTGAGCTTACAAAGTTCCTAAATAACATTCTCTGTGAGGAACATTGGCCTTGTTCGATTGAAAATAAAATCAAATCTTTATTTGAAATGGAGAGCTGCTACTGACACAACAGCTTAGCACGGACTTTGAAGTGTTTTTCAGGCAGATTTTATGTTAAGTCAGAAGTGTCTCCATCTCAGGGCACTCAGGTCTGTCTCAGGGAGCTGTGTTATGCCTCATGTCAAGGGTACACAAAAATAATTTTGTAAATTAGATGGGCTGTGGTCTGCTGCAAATATCACAGAATAACAGAAGCATAGGGGTTGGGAGGGGCCCCAGAGCTCATCCAGTGCCACCCCTGCCATGGCAGGGACACCTCCCACTGTCCCAGGCTGCTCCAAGCCCCAGTGTCCAACCTGGCCTTGGGCACTGCCAGGGATCCAGGGGCAGCCACAGCTGCTCTGGGCACCCTGTGCCAGGGCCTGCCCACCCTCACTGGGTGATGGGTCACAAATACAAAAACTTGAGAAAGATCAGAAAAACTGGAGATTTGTGACTGCAGAGGAAGCACAGCCTCAGAAAAAGCCTCAGGGCACAGCTTCAACCAACTCCTTATGGCTCATTCCAGTCTGACAAAATCCTGGGACTGATGCTCTACCTACCTACTCTGGATGTCCTCCAGCTGCTGGGACAGACCTGGCTTATTCGTGGCTTCAACTACATTTGGGGTTTTCTGAACTTCATAGGCCAGTTCTTTAAAATCCACATCAATGCCTTCAAAACGTCTGGAGTCCTACAAAAGGACACAAAGGGACACAAAGGTGACAGCAATGCTCTGATGGTGTGCTGAGAGATCCCATCCCCTGTCTTTGGGGTGAGGGGGAAGCTCCTCCCTCACCAGTGAAAGGCACGTTCCTCCTCAGCTCTGAGCCTGCAATTACACTGGGAGCTGGGCTGCTGTTGTACACAGGTACAAGATGTCATAAAAGAAAAGCCTTATAAAATCAGGCCTTGCTCTGTTAAAATTACCAGCTAGCCTGTTACTTCTAAGTGCAGCTAGCTAGGTCCTCACATGAAACAACCTTGGGAATGAAAAGCACACAACAATCTATTCTGGTAAGAAAATAAATGTGCACCTGCATAAACAAAAGATCTGTCCCATGAGAATCAGTGAAGAAGAGATGTAAACATCTGAGTGAGAGTCTTAGCACGTACACACAAAACCCTTCCTAACCAATGAATTAGGTGGCAAGAAAACTCCTAGCCAATAGGAGTTCAACACCAGCTCTGTAAAAACTGTATCAAAATGAGTTATGTGAATAAAGAATTGGCTTTTCCTGCATGAAGAAACTGAGTCCCAGCTGCTTATTGCAACAGGCTGGAGGCACCCTGAGGAGCCCCCCAGAGCAGGAGCAGAAAAGCTGCTCTCCCCCAGCACCAGCGTGGAAGGACAGGGAGGGAAAGCTGCCAAAGCTGCCTGGGCCAGCTCTGTTTGATGATTTGCAGTGTCTGAGTAATGGTCTTGGTCCTCTCCCCTCTGAAGGAAGAGGGAACACACTGCAGCACTGAAGGAAGGCAGCAGCTCTCACTCAGCCCCAGGAGCTCTGTGTTTGCCATGCAGTGGTACAAGGGAGAAGATCAGCCTGGGGTACAAAAACATCCTGGGGGAACAACCACAGCACTGAGAGAAACCCCAGAGGAGTGAGGCAGCAGGAGAACAGCCCTGCTTTGGGGAATTTGGCACTATAAATAACCCCATTTAATAACGGAGCCTCTTCTTCAGCACTTCCCAAGCAGGCAGTGTGGGATTTGGGGGCTCATACCTGGGGCAGCTGTGCCCGGATGTCTCCCGAGCCTATGAAAATGCTCTCCAGGTGAGACCAGGTGCGCTGCACCTCGAACCACAGGGCCATGACAGAGTCAGCGGTGGAGAGCTTCCTCTGCCAGGCACACACCTCCTCCAGGAAGAAAGCAATGCATTTGGATGACATTAAATTCTGCAGCTGCACCTGGTTGTCTTCTAGAGTTTCAATAAGCTCCTCATCTGACTTCAGCAAGGGGATGTTGGTGCGGGGGTGAGGCTCGTACTGAAACTCCCTGGAGCTCCAAGTGACCCTCAGCTCCTTCAGCACCTTCTCCATGCTCATCTCTCGCACTGCTTTGTCCACAATGCCATGGACCTCCCCCTCAAACTCATGCAGGTTGAGCCTGAGCAGGTCAGCCAGGGTGGTGTCCGAGTCCATCACAAACCTCACACCTGTCACCTGCATCAGCTGGTTCCAGTGCCTTTCCCTGATGGCAGGATTTTGAAGCTCAGCCACAGCCTTCAGGGCTGTCAGCATGTTCTTCACCTTGCTGTCCAGCCCACTGAAAGCATCCCATGCCCTCATTTCCTTATCCAAATTCCGAATCTCTCTTGCAAACCTTTTGCACTCCAGATCCATGCTCTCCACGTTAATATCCACCCATTTGGTGGTCTGCCAGTCCTGGAGGCTGCTGTTCACCAGGGAGATCATGTCCCAGAGCTCTTTGAGAAGACACAGCTCCTTCCTGCACTGCTTCAGTTGTTTATACTCTGGCACCATGACTTCAAACAGACCAGCTGATTCACAAATTGAGGTCATGGCTGACTCCATCTGTTTAATCTCCTTGTGCTTTGCATCCAGCAGTTCATAAGGCTTTTCAGTGTCAAACCTAGAAATAAACGTTTATTCTTCATAAGTGATATTGTAACAACTTCTAAAGAGCCTATGAAACAGACAGAGCCTCTGAGAGCCATGGGAGAGGATGAGAGGTCTCTACTACACCCTGATGGCTGAGCCATGTGGCACTGGTGACACCACCCAAACCCAAGCTCTTCCCAGGGACACAGCACTGCAGGCACAGCAGGCTGTGAGCAGGGGGGGGATCTGTGGATCACCAGAACATACAGGTGATGCAATAAGATTTTAGCTTTTATATTTTTCAAATCCTGTAGTGCATTAGTGCATAACTCTGAACTCCATATAAAGTGTAGTTAACTGTTTCCACATTTTGGTCAGACAAAACAATTCCTCTGGGCTGGGATCCAAAGACACACCACAGCCTCAGGCCCCCAAAAATATAAACAAAAATGAATTGGGAGGGAGAAAAATGGGGGAATATAACTTTATTAATTGAAGCTGTAACTGGAGGATTAACCCCTGATATGTTTGGTCTATGTGACCAAACTTATAATTGTCTGAAACACTTGTGACCATTGTCCATTCTGGGTGTAGCCTCTGGGAGGCTTTGACTGCCCAAGGTGTATCTGTTGAAGGCCTTTAATAAATCCCCACTTTATTCTCTAGCTCTGCCTAGCCTTTGTTCTGGGTGGCACTAGATCACTCCAAGGCATCACAGGGATGACCTTTTTTTCTCTGGGGATTCATGTGATGCTGATGCCTTAAGTTTTAAGTTTTTCTGTTCTGCCTGGGTGTGCTTTTTGTTGTGCTTGGGTGGTGAAGACAAAACAGTTCCTGTTCCAGCTGGGGACTCAAGGACAATCTCTTCAAACTTCAGGCCCTAAGCATAAACAATGTGAAAAGAGGAGGGTGGGCAGGCAAGCAAGGAGGATGAAACTTCGTGATTTGGAGCTATCAATTGGACAGTTGACTTCTGTATGCAAATGGATTAAAACCTATAAAAATGTGAGATCTCGTGCCCAAGCTCTGTTCTGCTTCCACCTCGGAGCCATCCAGGCAGGGCCACGACTGTGGCACTGGCACTGCCAGGGTGTGGCCTTTGAAGGCCCCTCAATAAATACCCATTTTATTCCCCTTAACTCAGTCTAGCCTGTGTTCCAGCTCCTCTAGGCAGCAGTACCTGAAGGGCGCTTCCCTGCCGAAGCGCTCGCGCAGCCGCAGCTGCTGGGCGTCGAAGGCAGCGCAGCTCTGGCGCAGGGCTGTCACCTCGCTGGCCTGCAGAGGGGCCACCTGCTGCTTCACAGCCTCTGCCAGCTTCTTCACCTGGCTCCACTTCTCTGGCAGCTCCTGCAGGAGAAGGCAGGAGCTCCAATGGCACTGCTGGGAGGCAGGATGGGCTCTGGGGGGGTGATACCTGCTCATGGATAGCCACAGAAGGGGAAAAGAGACAGAACCCACGGCCAAAACTGAAAGGGAGGGTGGTTGGGATGGCCCAAATCATGCCTGGGTAGTTTTAGACTGGATATGAGGAAAAAAGTTTGCTTTTGATTGTAAAGCATCAGAACAGGCTGTCCAGGGAGGTTTGGAGTCACCATCCCCAGAAGTGTTCAAAACCCTGTGAATGTGGCACCTGGGGACATGGTTCAGTGCTGATCATGGTGGTGGTGCTGGGGGGATGGTGAGATTTTATGATCTTAAAGGTCTTTTCCAACCCTGACAATTCCATCATTGCCAAGGGCTCTGCTGTCCCCAGGTTTCCTCTTCTCCATGTGCTGTGCAAGCCCACAGGAAAGGCTTTGGGTTCCTCTCCATCCCAGTTCACACTCTTGAGGAGATTAATGGAGACCCAGCATGGAAGGAAGGGAAATAGCTGCAGGCAGCTCTGAGGCAGCAGAGATGGCCAGGGTGGGGCCAGCCCCTCCTGAGGGGTCTCTTCCTGGCATTTTGCATTACAGTCTCAGTAGAAATCACTATCCATGGCCACACACAGAGCTGCTTCCTTCTTTTCCTACCAAACAGCAGCTCCAGGCCATCCATCTCCAGCACCATGGAGGGAGAGGAGCCCAGAGGAACTCCTGCTTTTCCCACTCCATACAGGAGGGAATGAATCATTCACACACAAGTGTCGCTGTCACTCGCCAGAAAAAACAATTCTTTTGCTGTTCTGCATCTGGATGGCTGCACAATACCCTCCTCTCATCCATCAGGAAAGGAAATCAGTTATTTGAAGGTATTTGCACAAGCAGGCACACACCAGCAGCTCCCAGGCTGGGGGATTTAGTGGAGCTGGGTTCCCCACACTCTGGGGTTTATGTGGATGAAGACATTGCTGGCAGGGCTTGTCTCTGTCCCCCAACACTGGCTGGGCACCTCACCATCTCTTACAACCTTCATCTCATGGTCCCTTTTGCAGAAACGAAAGGAATTCCCAAAAAACTGACTCATGAGAGCCAGATGTGGGGAGATGCCAAAATATTTTCATAACCTGCTCCCAGGGATGTCCACTGGGTAAAGCAGACCTGGTGGTCTTGACCCAGAGGAGGACTAAAGCCCTGTGAGAAGGCAGCTCCTCTGCCAACATTATCCTTCCCATCTCCAGAGCTGCCAAGAGCCAGCTTATTTAAAAATAATTATAATTCAACCTAATTAACAGATGGATTTGAAAATGCAATAACTATTTTTCAAGAGTAATCGCTGGGAGTTGGAGCAAGCAATTCCATGTTTTTCACACATAACAAAAGGCTTAATCTCTGCTTTAAAAGAAAAATCTCAATGTAACTCAATGTACCATTTAGAGCTATTAAGGCACATCCTGCAATAGCAAAACACTGCCCACTGAGGCCCTCTAATGCCAGGGAGCAGGGCCTTGAACATCCCTGGGATGCTCCTCCACTCCTGCTCCCTTTGACTGCTGCTCCTGGGCAAGCTGCTGTGTCCACCACAAGCCCTCACCCACCTCCAGCTGCTGGTGGACTTCTTCAGGCAGCTGCTGCTCATAGCTCCTCAGCAGCTCAATGGTTTCCTTCAGGGGCTCAAACATGGCATCAGTGGCACTGTGACGTTCCTTCACAGCCAGCAGGTGACCCATGACCTCCACCAAGCCACCAGAGTCACCTGTCTCCACCTTTCTGCTCAAACCTTTCTCAGTTGTTTGGATGAACTCGTCCAGGTCAGCCAAGCTGTAGAGTACAAAGCAGGGAAGGAAGCACAAGATGAGAGCAGTTCCTCTGGAATTAATATCCAGCCTCAGAACTGGAATTCCTGCTCCAAGGTATCCCTGGATGTGGTACAGTTTCCTTCAAGGAACAGAAAGGCAGGTTGGGACTTGTCAAGTTGGAGACAGAGTACCTGAGCAGAGGCAGGGAGTTCAGGAATATTTGAGAGGACAGTTTTTACTGGGAGTTTTTACAGGTGCCCAGAGCAGCTGTGGCTGCCCCTGGATCCCTGGCAGTGCCCAAGGCCAGGTTGGACATTGGGGCTTGGAGCAGCCTGGGACAGTGGGAGGTGTCCCTGCCATGGCAGGGGTGGCGTTGGTTGGGCTTTAAGGTCCCTTCCAACCCAAACCATTCTGGGATTCTGTGACACTTTTCACCCCATCTCTTCTACGACAAGAACCCGAGCTCCCCATGTGAACCTGACACATTTCAAACGTGTAACAAACAGGGATTGTCCTTCATGCACTGCCTCTCTTCACAGGGCAGCTCTCTCCTGCAGGTGATGCAAATTCACAGCAGTTTAGAAAAGCAACTGGACATTTGTGGGAAGAAAAAAAAAAATCCCTCCAGGACTTCAAGATCCCTGTCTGTCAAAGCCCTTGAGGCGTAAACCATCACAGATAGGAGAGTGTTCGGGGCACATTTCCTCACCTGCTTATCCTGTTCTTAACCTCTCCGGCTACTGGGCACTTTCAGCAGAAGAACAATGGGCTCCTGGATCCCAAAACACATTTTAAGTGCCTGCTTAAATTCTCTGGATGCTGCTGGACCTAAAAGTATCCTTAAATACTTCACCTAATAAAGACTAAACTGCTGAGTCAGGAACTCTCAATAACAGCTCTTAAATGCTCTCTGCCACACAAAACTTCTTTGCAAAGAAATTATCAGACAGATTTATGGTGCTGAAAAGCACACAAGAGATCACATCACCACCCCACGCAACAGCCTCCTCTTCAGATGTCTGTGAGCACTCCCCTGGGAGCATCCACAACCTAAGACACCCTTCAGCTGCAACCAAAAAATCACCCACGGCACTGTCCTGCACAGATCTCAGCAGCTCTTCAGAGCAAGGAACAAGTGTTAATACAAAGGTTGGAGCCTAAACTGCTCCTTTTTGTAGTCTGCACACACCTGCCCATGATTGCTCATGCCAGGCTACCTGAATCATGGGCTTTTAGAAACCTCATGACATTAATGCAGATTTACTGATAGCCACCATCACATCCATTAAAGCAAGCCCAGAGCCCCGGCAGAAATGGGATTATTTGGCTCAGGAGGAGTGGGCAAACACACACCTCATCTAATGCCCTACAGCAGGTCCCAGGGCACCGGCTCAGGGATGTCAGGGGTACCAGGGGATGTCCCTGCTCCCAGGGGTGCCGGGGGATGTCCCTGTTCCCAGGGGTGCCGGGGGATGTCCCTGTTCCCGGGGTACCAGGGGATGTCCCTGTTCCCAAGTGATGTCCCTGTTCCTGGGGGTACCAGGGGATGTGTCTGTTCCCAGGGGTACCAGGGGATGTCCCTGTTCCCAAGTGATGTCCCTTCCCAGCTCACACACAAGCAGAGAGCAGGGCACAGAAGACACAGCAATGGATGGAGCTGCTGTGCTCCATGGGCCCTTCCCCTGCTCCTGTATTAGCTCTGGATGCTGTCACAGCCCTGAGGCTGCCAGAGCTCCAGGACAATGCTCCCAGGGTGGGATTGCTGGGGTGTCTGTGCAGGGCCAGGAGCTGCCCTGGATGGTCCTTGAGGATCCCTTCCAAGCCAGGTATTCCGTGATTCTCTAAGTGAGCTGGCCACCAGTGTGAAATGACCCAGCCCAGCCAAGACGAGAAATCCACACAGCCCCCGGAGCAGAGGCAGGACCAGCTCTCACCTGTGCGTGACGTGGTCCAGGAGGTGCTGCTTGAACACCAAGCTCCACCTTTTAATCTCATTGAGCAGGGCTGCCCTGAAGGGCCGTGCATCGAGCCTGAGCCAGCCCTGGAAGGTGCAGACGGGCTGCATGTCGGCCACCTCCTGGTAGAGCTGCTCGTAGGAGCCCATGTGCTCCCGGACCTGCTGCAGCGTGGGTGGCGTCTCGGGGACCCCGTGCTGGCCCTGCAGGTCTGCGGGTGTGAGGGCGCGGCCGTAGAGCAGGAACTGGCGGCACAGCTCCCTCCTGTCCTCCCCAAAGAGGTGCGAGAATCGCTCCAGCCCCGCGCGGTGCTCGCAGCACAGGGACACCGCTGCACCTGCACGGCTCAGCAGCTCCTGGCGAGCTGAACACAGGTCAGACATGGCCTCCAGGTCAGCCTGGGAGGAGAGGAGAGGAGAGGAGAGGAGAGGAGAGGAGAGGAGAGGAG